ACAGATACAAAATATTTACAGTTTACAAATTAAATAGATTCAAATGAAACTGCTATCTACAAGGAGGGGGGGAGGGGGAGGGGGGAGCACATGGGTAAGGGGAAGGGAGGGAGGTAGGTGGGACGGGAGAAAAAAAAAGATATATATAGATACAATACAAAAAGAAAAGAGAAAGAAAAGATGTTTGTAGATATATCACAAGGCAAAATAACGATTATTTTTTTCATCAGTCCCAGGAGTGAGATATGGGATCAGGATATACATATGCAACGAAAGAAAATAAAAGAAAGAAAAATAAAACAAAGCATATTACTAACATTAAAAAAAACGTTTCTTATGTTCTTGATGATTGAAGAGCAGAATGTATGAATTATCACTATATTTACTTTATTAACCGATCGTCTGATTCCGATGCTAACCTAATTAAGTCAAGGTGGGATTCTTAGAGCGTGGCCGTGAGAAAATATCTTATATGAGTGCAATTCGGTTTCTTTGGGTGAAGTGACCACGCGTTTCACTCAATGAAGGTTTTCTTTGCTTCATTCAAAGAAAAATTATATATATGGAAGGTGAGAACGATTTTAAGGATGAATATGAAGGGAAAAAGGTTGATTGACGAAAAATAAAAGAAAAGTGACGGTGAAATAAGGAAATTGTTCCGTCATGAGCGATGTTCTCTTGTTTTTTTTTTCTCTGTTGACATCGTTCATTTGTTTTCTTGGGTTTTCTATCGTATAGATGGGAAGGGACGGACCGGAAACTGGGATTTCGAGAGAAGAAGAAAGAAAATAAGAGAGAGAGAGAGAAAGAAAGAGAATTATATATAAAAAACGTAGAGAGATTTTCTTCTTCTCTAAATCTCTCTCCTTCTCCCGACTCCCAAGGAAGAAGACGGGAACGAACACGAAGACCGGACACGAAAACACACTCTTCCTTCTGTCTTCCTTCTCCCTTCCATCGTCGTCGTTATCATGTCCTTTCCGCTTCCTCCTTCGTGGAACAGAGGAAGAGGTGGCGATCAGTTACGGTGCCTCTTCCACCTCCGCTCTACTCCTCTTCTCTTCTCCGGTTGAGTCTCCTTCGCCGGTTGAAGAGCGAGCTGAGGCCGGGGCGTGTCCGGCCGCGCTTAGGACCTCCTTCCTCGGCGGCCTCCTCTGCGGGCGCCTCCGACTCCACGACGGGCTCCTCCGCCACGACCTGCTCCTCCACGGCGGCCAGCTGGGCTTCTGTGGGAAAGGCGGCGGGGCGTTAGAATCTCTCCTGAAGCCGGGGAAGGCGGCAGCGGGTCTCTCGAGGGTGAGGTTGACTGGGGGTTGATCTTTAAAGAAGCGTTAGTCCGAGTATTTTTTTTTTTTTTTTTTTTGAGAAGTCGGGGCCGTTGTTTCTATTACGTCTGATAAAGATTAATTGCTGAGATGATGAAGATACAGTGACACATTTCCTTAGAGAATTTTATGCGCACAAGACTATTTGTGACGGTTTGGTCATTTAGGTAATGGGATACAAGTTAAATTGAACTACGAATGAAATACTTATGAACACAGTGAAGAAAAATATTTGGGAATTACAAACTAGATAAAAAAAGAATACATACTGTCAAAGTACGAAAAGGAATGAATACGGAAACAAATCAAGAACAAAGATTTAAATGAACTAGGATATATCCCTTTAAAGACAAGGATTTAAAGACGAATAGTGAATATACTACACACTAAAAAAAGTAACAGGAGAGCTGTGTAAATAAGAGCCAAAGAGTAATTTTGATTCAGTTTAAAGTGTTGTCAAGGAAGCAGTCGTAAGCCAATAGGGTCGAAAGTGTCTCGAGTTTATGAGAAAAAAAGGCATTGGAGTCTATAGAGAGGCACAAAAAGGCCTGAAGTCTTTGAGAGAAAGTCTGATGAACCCAAGAAGTCATCTTGTAAGAAGAGGTGTGGTAAGATATTACGAAGCGTCGGTTTTCCTCCTTCTCCTCCTTTTTCTCTTCTACTTACGCCTCCTCCTCCCCTGTTTATTTTCTCCCTCCTCCTTATCTCCTTTACTCCTAGTCTTCCTCCTTCTCTGTTTACATCTCCCCCCTCCTCCTCCTTCTCCTCCATATCCCTCTTTTTCCTCCTCCTCCTCCTTCTCCCTCTTCCTCCTCCTCCTCCTCCTCTTCTCCCTCTTCTCCTCCTCCTCCTCTTTCTCCCTCTTCCTCCTCCTCTCCTCCTACTTCCTCTTTCCTCTGCAAAAGCCCTGCTCTCTCCCACAACCCTCTGTCCGTCCAGTTCTAAGTCCAAGTCGTAACTTCAAGTCGCTCCGAGGTGGTCGTGGTTAGGTCGTCGGCCGGCGGAGAGGGAGGGCTGGGAAGGTCGTCATGGATCGTCCCGCTCGACCACTTTTGGCTGAGTTTTTTGTTTTCGTTTTGACAAAATTTAAGGGAATAAAAGGTCCCCCATCTGCCCTCTTCGTTCATCAGTCCTCGTTGGTCGTAAACGTTAGGAAAATAATAATAATGGTGAGTCATTTCGTTATGTCTGATACATGCGGTTCATGATATATATTTATGAAATCCATACTATTGTCAAAAGGAAGATTCTACGGCAGGTCCTGAATGGTCCTCAGTGTGATATCTGAATATATAAACAAAATGAACTAATATTCTCATTTCTGGAGCAGAAGACCGTTTCGTGGCGACGACTTACCTGCTACTTGATTGTCATCCTCGACGGGCGCTTCCTGCTCTGCGGCGTCTACGGGCTCCTCTGCAGCAGGCTCTTCCTCTGCGGCTCCCTTGTTCCTTCTTCCGGGGCGGCGGTTCCTTCGGTTGAAGAGCGACGTGAGTGCCGTGCGGCGGTTGTTGGACGACGGGGCGCGCTTGGGCTGCGGCGTCGTGGTGCTGCTGGGGGCGGAGCTGCGGTTCTTGTTGAAGCGGTTGAGCATGACGCGCCTCTTGCCTCCGATTCCGACTCCGGGGCGACGCTTGTCTGCAGGCTCGTCGGCGGCCGCTTCCTCCTCCGCGGCAGCGGCGGGATCCTGCTCAGCCCCTTCGCCTGCCACGACTTCTTCTGCTGTGTGTTGGACGTCGGTCTGCTGCTGCGCTGGGTCGACAGGCGCTTCCTCGGCCGGGGCTGCTGCCTCCTCTGCCGGGGCCTCCGTGCGGGCGCCGCCTCGGTGCCGGGGGTTCGTCCTGGCTCTCAGGAGGGAGGGCCTCGAGGGGCGGGTGCGGGAGGGGCGAGCAGGACGGCCCTGAGGAGCCTGGGGGGCTTGGGCAGCCTGAGGGGCCTCAGCCTCCACTGCAGCCTCTTCAGCAGGAGCTTCGCCCTCGGCCGGTACTTCCTCAGCCTCTTTCTTTGCTTCAGCTTCAGGCTTCCTACGACCTCCAAAGCGGTGTCTGCTGATGCTGGGGCGTCTCCTGGTGTTGCCTCTGGCAGGGGCTGGGGCTGCGGTGGTAGAAATCACCGATTCCAAAGTGTCTGTGCTGCTCTCGGCTTCGGCTTCTACGTCGGCCACAACGGTCTCTTCTACAGGGGCCTCGACGTCCTCAGTTGGCTCTGTGGTGGCTGCAGCAGCTGCGGTGGTTCCACGCCCGCGGAATCGGCTGCCAAGGAGACCTGCCCTGGATGGCAGTCTCGGCCTGGCACGGGTCGCCGTTCTTTCAGTGGTGGGTTCTGTTACTTCGTTGTCCTTCTTCGTGACTCCACGGTTCCTGAAGGAACTGACTCTGGGCTTGTTGAATCTGTTCCTGAAGCCTCCACTCCTTTCAGTCGTGCTGTCCACAGAGGCCTCAGATGCAGCCTCCTCCCCCTCCTCCTCGGCGGGTTTGTCTGTGGACGACTGGGACTTGAAGCGGTTGGTGCTGAAACGGTTGGAGCTGAAGCGGTTCCTGTTGCTGCTGAACCGAGAGCCGCCAAACCTGGACCTGGTCTGCGTGGACTCTTCGGCGGGAGCCTCGGTTGTGGTGGTGGTGCTGGAAGGCTGGAATCGGCTGCCTCGGACGCGGCTGCTGAAACGCGATCCAACGTTAGTCCTGGAGAAGCCACGTGTCCTGGCGGTGGTGGTTGTGGTAGGCTCAGGTGTTGTAGTTGTGGTGGTGGTAGTGGTGGTAGTAGTGGTCGTGGTCGAGGTAGTGGTTGGTTCCTCAGTGCTGGGTTCTGGCTCAGGTTCAGGTTCTGCCTGTGGTTCGGTGGGCTCAGTAACAGCCTCGGTCAAGGCGGGGTAGTCGGTGGCGGCTCCACTCTCGTAGTCGTAGTAGTAGTAATCGATTGGAATCTCAGTCTCGTAGTCTGGCGACTGTGGGATCTCAGTGGTGACTTCACCCATGTCTTCAGCGTCGGCAGCGCGAGAGAAGGCGTAGAGGTTTACGAGAGACAGAGCAGAGGGGAGAAAAGTGGTCGTGGGAACCTCCTCGGTGGTGATCTCGTCATAGATCGTGTCCGCCACTTCGGCCTCCACTTCGGGCACTTCTGCGTCGAACACCCTGGCGCCGCGGGACGTCTGGAGTTCGTGGGAGCTCTGGAGTCCTGTGACTTCGGGCACGAGAGGAACCTGCTTGTGCTCATCGATGCCGAGGCGCGAGGATTCCTGGAAGAGTGGCTCTCGTTCGGGCACGGTCGGTGTTGTGGTGACGGGCGTGCGGGGAGGGAAGCGGGTATGGGCGGGGAGCTTGTCCTCTTCTACGGTGACCGACTGGACGCCGTTGTCGATGCTGTTCACGTCCTGCTCGCGCGACCGGAAGCTGCTTCTGCCTCGGAGAGAAGAGGACCTGGAGGAGGAGCCGGAGTCGATGGCTCGGGAGCGGCCGGAGGACCTGACTGGCTCGATGAAGTTCGCCTCCTGGGAATCCGCTACTTGTTGCCGGCTGCTTCCCCTGTTGCTGGTCCTGGTGCTGGTCCTGCTGCTGCCTCTGCTGTTGCTGTCTCTTGCGCTCTCCCTGGTGCTGTCCCTGCTGCTTTCTCTGATGTTATCCCTGATGCTAGTTCGGGAGCTTTCCCTGCTGCTGCTTCGGCTGTTGGTTCTGCTGCTCAGCCGTGTGTTTCCGCGTGAGGGCCGTTCTGTGGTAGTGGTGGTGGTCGTAGTAGTAGTTGTGGTAGGAGGTGGTGTTGTGGTGGTTGTGGTTGTGGTGCTGCTCGTCGTGGTTGAGGTAGAGGTAGACGACGTGGCAGGGGCATCAGCGTCTGCGGGTTCTACATCAACGGGAGATGAATACTCATAGTCGTAGAGGGGATACTCGTCGTCATAGTAGTAAAGGTACTCGTATTCATAGAGCTGCCCATTGACTTCCTTAATCTCGATCTTGCTACGGACCTTCTGCTCTGTCTCGGCGGGGAAGAGGAGCTTGTCGTTGTCGTTGGCTCCCTTGCCGAAGTCGAGGTCGCTCTCGTCGAAGTACTTGCCGTAGAGGTCGTTGACAGGAGGGTTCTGCTGGTTCTTCGTGCTCAGGATCTCGATGTTGGTCTCATTAGCGGGTTCTTCAGCAAAGACAGGTGAGTCGGTGGTCTCGACAGGAATTTCTGTGGCGACGCCCTCATACTCAGCTGCTGCTGGCTCAGGCTCGCTTTCAGGGACAGGTTCAGGCTCCAGGGCGGCCTCCTGGTCATGGTAAAGGTGCTCATCAACTGGCGACGGTTCTGCAGCAGGCTCGGGCTCCACACCGGGGACGACTTCAGTAGCAGGAGCCTCGACCTCCTCAGGCACAGGCTCTTCCACGGGCACGGGTTCTGTGGCTGGCTCGGCATCATACAAAAATTCATCCTCTTGAATAGACTTCGCCGCCGCAGCAGGGAAGTCTTCCGAAGGGACCTCAGCTTGGGGAATGTTTGGCAAGAACTGCTCGGCGAAGGCGTCGTGGCTGAGGGTGTAGTTCTCTGCTCCCGCTTCGCTCTGCTCGAACTCGGTGTGGTGCTCCACGTGCGTGCTCTCGCCCTCGACCTTGGTGGGGAGACTCGTCACGACCGAAATTAGAGTCTCGACTTCAGGCTCCAAGGCTGTGACGTTCTTGGTGGGCGCGGGGGTGACGGCAAGGACCTCTTCCTGGGGCAGCTCCGTGGCGGCCACTTCCTCCAGGATTTCCGTCACGTAGTCGTAGTCGGGGTAGTCGGTCACGGGCTCGAGGTCGCCAATGACGGGAAGGAGTTCATCGGGTGTCAGCAGGAAGGAGTCGAAGCCGTCCGTTCCGTTTTCCTGGGCAGCATGGACGTCCTGCTCCAGGTGCTCCTCGGTGATTGCAGGGGCCGCTACCTCTGGGGCGCTGTCCAGACTGACGTACAGGATTTCGCCGCCATCTCCTGCAACGACGGAGTCCTGCGCCGAGGGCTGGGATGCCTGGAAGGCCACGAATTCCTGGCCGGGGACGGGCTTGGTCAGGACCTCGGGCTCGGGCCTCGTGCTCTCGCCACTGGCCACCGGGGACGTCGCCGAGGCGCTCGCCTCAGCCTCCGATGCGAACTCCTGTCCAGGCTGGGGCTGCGATACGACGACAGGCTCGCTCTGCTCCTCCTCCTTCTCCGCTCGCTGCTGCTCTAGCTTGTTCTTGAGCGACGAGCCGGGGCGGAGGCCGAAGCGAATGCCCGGGCGGCGCAGAGGCGGCAGCCGCCTGGTGGAGTGGGAGGGGGCGTCGGAGGCGGCTTCGGCGGCAGCGGGGGCTGGGGTCGTGGTCGTCGGTTCTTCGGGGGATTCGGTCGTGGACGTCCTCGAGTTGCGGCGACTGAGAATGTTGGGTCGGTTGCGGATGCTGAAGAGGAGGCGGCGTCTGTCCTCCTGCGGGAAGGCCGAGCAGGCGGCCACCAAGACCAGCGCCAGCGCGCACCACCTGTGGAGGACAAGGCATTATTAGACATGATATTAAATCTTAGATTGCCCGGATTTAGTCAGTGAACCAAACACGTTAATGATCTATATTAAATTTCCCTATCCTTTAGAGGACACCATAATGTGTGAGTCATTCACATTACAGCCCAAAGGTTACTGAATGTCATGTGGCAGTTTCACAGTTAACATTATAATTAGCTCAAGATATTGCTAAGAAGAAAAAGCAGTGTTGAGTGGCTTCGCTAATGCTGATATGCATATCTGAAATTCGTCATATTAAATTATCACACTTATTTTCCGCTTATTCTAAGAATATCCATATGTGCTTTTATTTATTGATCTATACTGGTTATAGCTAATTTTCCCATCTCTATGAAAAATAAACACTATATCTATACAACATACATGCATTCATAATGTTCAGACATAGACCCAAATATACACACACTAAACGGGAAATAAATAAAGGTTTGGCCCTTTGCACAAATGGTCCCTCGCCTTCCGGACAAGCGACCATGACATTCTTTTGTTTCGTGGCGGCGAGAGAAAGAGAGATCGAGATAGATAGAGGTATTTACACTCTATACAATCATGTTTAATTAAGGAGTGCATCAAATGTCAGCTATAATGACGAGGAACTCAAACGGAAATGTCAGATTTTGCAAACAATTAAACATATGTTACGGTCACGATGTGTGGCTTTGAGAATTCGTAGATAAATCACTAATCCTTACTTTAAATTGTATGATCAAGATACTGAACAGTAATGTTAGACAGTGATTTGAGAGTCATTGGCAGTAAAAGTATAAACATTAAACAGCAATTAGTCACAGTTTAATTACCAATGATAAATAGACCTTTACACTTAACATCCCTCTTCCAACATGGCCGCCGCGGAACACTATCGTCCCATTTCCGTCTCCGGTTCATTTCGAAGGCGGCAAAATGTCATATTGTTGTCTCACACGACCAACTGAGATGCCAGCCTTTACGGATCGCTGGAGAATTAGGTGAATGTGTGGCAGAAAGGTGGCAAAGGTCAGACATTTATCTTGGGGGAATCGAGGCGCCCCCCGAAAAAAGAGCTATTATCGAGACTCTGGCAACTGCATGCTCAGTGTCCCGTCGCTGTGACGATTTATTGTCGTTTTATTTGTTTATTGTTATTACCGTAACTGTTGGTAATGATAATGTTACGGGTATTATCTATATTTCTTCATTACAAGTGTATCTAATCTGTAATATATCTAAGACGGATTTTTTCGATTCATTCTATAAAACCGTATAATCTGTTAATTGATATATATGAGAAGCGAAAACGCACATACCCCGCCCAATCCGACCTCTGACACGGGCATGGGCGTGGGTTTGCTCACAAGCGGCGCCCACAGATGCTCCGCCCGTATGTCGGGTTCAAATATGTTTTTTCTCTCTCTTTTTTTTTTAAGGGGGGGGGAGGTTGGGGGTGGCCATTGAACTTGTCTGAGTATATTGCAATTTTCTGCTGGGTAAGCTTATCCATTTTTTATTATTTTTTTTCAAATCTTTATTGTATATAAATAGAATAAAATCAATCAGGAGATATAAAAAAGAGGATTTACGAAGGAATACGTAGCGTTGAAGTAATAGGTAATAAAACGAGAGGTTTTTGGAGGGATGCAATAAACAAAAGACTGTCGGAGCATTTGGTGTCAACACTGCCGTTACCGGTTCCGATCCCAAGTCAAATCTCGAACAGAACGAACTGGTTCCTTTCACTTTCTGTGTTGAGTCGCCCGATCTCTCTCTCTCATTCTCTCTCCCTCTCTGTCTCTGTCTGTCCTGTTGCTGTCTCTCTCTCTGTCTGTCTGTCTGTCTGTCTGTGTCCTGTCTCTCTCTCTCTCTCTCTCTCTCTCTCTCTCTCTCTTCTCTCTCTCTCTATATATATATATTATATTATATATATATATATAGATATATATATATATTATATAGATAGAGAGAGAGAGAGGATAGAGAGAGATAGATAGAGAGATAGATAGATAGATAGATAGATAGATAGATAGATAGAGATAGAGAGATAGAGAGAGATAGATAGTGTGTGTGTGTATGTACATCGTATATGACTTAATTTTCAACCTTAAGGCCACACAGACACGCATGTTTTCTCAAATGCGTTTCATTTCGAATCTTTCAGACCCTTCCGAAGTTCAGCGAAATTACACACGTATTATACCTTACAAATCGTCCATCATCCGGAATACGTGATGGTATGTGCGGGAGAGTACGGGTGTTCTGTGCGTGTGAACGTGCAGGTGTGTGCGAGCGTGTGGATATGTAGGTGTGTGCGTGGTTGTGTGCGTGTGTGCGTGTGTGCGTGTACGTCCTTGTGTGTGCGTGTGTACATGTGTGTGTGCGTGCGTGTGTGCGTAGTACGTGTGTACGTGTGTGCGTGCGTGTGTGTGTACGTGTGTGCGTGTGTGTGTGCATGTACGTGTGTGCGTGCGTGTTTACATATACGTGTGAGAGTGCGTGTGTACATGTAGTGTGTGCGTGCGTGTGTACATTACGTGTACATATACGTGTATGCGTGCGTGTGTACATGTACGTGTGTGCGTGCGTGTGCGTAAACGGTGGTGGGGTTTTCCTGCATTCCGGCATTTTCGGCGCCACGCCCTATCCTTGGGAAATAACTGCAGGCAAAAATTGAGGGAAAAGGGGAAAAATATGGGAGGAAACGAGCTAACAGCCAACTTAAGGGAGGGTTAAAACGGCAGTTAAAATTTAGGTAGAGACGTGGTTGTTAAGTTGTTGTTGTTGTTACTGATGGCTGTAGTTATTGTTTCTTTATTTTTTGTTTTGGTTAAATCATCATTATCTACTTATTTGTTTTTTTTTCATTCATTTACTTTTTTCATTAATTATTTTTATGGTGATTCATTTTCCTCGTTGTATTATTGTGGAGAAGAGAAGGAGAATAAGGGAGAAGGAGGAGAAGAGGAAGGGAGTAGAAAGCAAGGGGAGAAGAGGAGAATAAAAGGATAAAAGAAGAGAAAGAAAGAGAAGAGAAGAAGATAGAAGGATAGAAGAAGAGAGAGAGGGAGGAGACGATAAGGGAAAGAGAATGGGAGGGGGGGGAGACAGGGGGAGGGGGAGGGGGGAGGGAGGAAGGGAGGTCGTACAAGGGTAGTTAACCAGGCGTGTCTGAATGACCTTTCTGTGCCTGTGACCTTGTCAAGTAGCCAGAAGGACTGGTATCTTTTTTTTTTTTTTTTTTTTTTTTTTTGCCATCCCCCCCCCCCGCCATATTGAGGTTCTGAAACCTTATTTTCATCTTGCAACTTAACCTGTCTTATCTGTGCCTCGTTGAAGTCTTAATTGTTCTGTCAAGTTTACCGTTGAAGTTTTATCTATTTGGGTGTCCATTAAGCCGTTAATTACCCAATTAAACTGTTAATTACACTTCTCTCTTTTCCGTTAAGTACTTTCGTTAATTACGAGATTTTCTCCAGAATGAGAGTAAACGTTAAGAAATTTGTCTTTTTGTGTGTGTTTGATTTATTGAATTCGATGTTTTCCTAATCTCTTACTTTCTTCTTATTTTTTGTTAATTCGACCTTTACGACGAAGAAAGGAAGTCATTCGTTTCCCTTTCTATGGCTTCGGTGACCTTCGCACGTCTCGGTCATGTAATTAGAAAGGCCAAGGCTCGCGGCTCATCGACTACAAAAAAAAATAGAAAAAAATATATAGGCCAAATAAAGCAAAAGTAGCCTTTTATAGATGAATAACAAAAAATATATAAATATATATATCATATGAGAGCCGCTCCCATTTCCCGCCAACCCGATATGGAGTCGTAAGTCATTGTCATTCTGCATAGGTTCGGACGCAGCCATCATGGCCGCCGACCACGAAATTGTCTAAAACTTAAAATTCACTTCATCATTATTTTAAAGAAAGATATTCGTTTTGTCGTTCCCGTTGGGTGAAAACTTGACCAATTTATCACTCGAACAGCAATTGGCGTTGCGAATGTAGAAATAATGTACGTGTGTACATTGCGTGCATTATCATATGGCGATTTTTATTTTCTAAAAAGTTCGTGTTGATTAAGAACGAAAGGAAGGGAGAGAGAGAAAAAAGAGAAACGGAAAGCAGATATATATATATATATATATATATATATATATATATATATATATATATATATATATATATATATATATATATAGAGAGAGAGAGAGAGAGAGAGAGAGAGAGAGAGAGAGAGAGAGAGAGAGAGAGAGAGAGAGAGAGAGAGAGAGAGACAGAGACAGACAGACAGACAGAGAGAGAAAGACAGAGACAGACAGACAGACAGACAGAGAATACAACAGACACAGATTGACTGACTGACTGACAGGTAGGCGAAGACAGACAGACAGGGAACAAAAATACAGACAAACAGACAAACAACACAATAACAAAGAACAAAAATACAAGAAACTAAAAAACAGACAACCAAACAGAGAAAGACAAAAAGACAAAGACAGACACAGACAGACAGAAAGACCCAAAATAACCCACGTTCACCTTTCTCGCAACACCTGTTCATCATACAAGCTTGAACACAGTTTGAAAGCGTTCACTTTTATGAACTCTCACACGTGGTTCTCGTTTCGTTCTAGTGTTCAACGTTACAGAAAGGGAAGAAAAGAAGGAGAGAGAGGAGGTGGAGGTGGAGGAGGAGAGGGGGGGGGATTGGAGGTGGAGGAGAAGGTGGAGGAGGAGGTGGAGGGGAGGGACTTGGAGGTAGAGGTGGAGGAGGAGGTGGAGGGAGGTGGACTTGGAGGTGGTGGAGAGAAGGTGGAGGGAGGAGGTGGAGGGGAGGTGGACTTGGAGGTGGTGGAGGAGAGGTGGAGGGGAGGTTTGGAGGTGGGAGGAGGAGGGGGTTGGAGGTGGAGAGAGGCGGACGTGAAGTAGGAGGAGGAGAGGAAAGTGGAGGAAGTGGAGAGGAGGTGAATGAAAGGTGAGGAGGAGGTAGAAGTGGAGTGAGGGGAGGAGGGAAGTGGAGGTGGAGGAGGTGGAGGAGAAAAACGAGGAAAAGAGAGATAGGTAGGAGAACGAAGAGATAAGAAAAAAACAAAAAAAAGATGTTGGAAAAGGATAATAATAATGAAAAAAAAAAAAAAAAAAAAAAAAAAAA